CGGTTGTATGTGTGTGCTCGTGGGCAGGCGCACGCCTGCGTGCGCGTCTGGCATTTCAGCGCCTGCTTGCAGCCGGGACGACAGAGCGAGCGCCACCCAACACGGACCCCGGCCTCACACCCCTGCCAGCACTCCTCTGCGCCCCACGCGGCGCCTCACCTTGACGCAAAAGGGGCAGGTGGAGAATGAGAACACCACCACCTGATCCAACAGGGACGGCGCAAAGCAGGAGTGGCACAAAGCATGCAGGCGGTCAGGGGCGTGGGAGGGCTCGACACGCAACAAGCCGAGTAATCGGGGTCACAGCCCTGGCTCTCGCAGTGAAGCCGGCCCAAAGCAAGTACTGCCTGGCTGCACGCCCGTGGACGCTCGGCGGTCGACTCGCCCGCCTGAGTTCGCACCCCCACCATCACAAACACCGGCCCCAGCCCCCACAACGCCGCCCTTGGCACGTCCCCAGCCACGACCAAAAGCCACTCACAGGCCGAGTGGTGATCAGGTTCTCCAGCCGCGTGCGCACCGCCGCCTCGTCATAGTCACCGGCCTGCATCTTGGCTAGGGCCTTCTTGCCCTGCAGCAGGAGCACGACCGCGCGGGTCAGCATGTGGAGTCGTGCCAGCGACAGCCGGGTCAGGCGCACAGGTCAGGGTCGCTGCGGCGTGCTGGCGCCCGCCTGGGAGACGCATTGGCGCTGCCTGCGCGTTGGCGCAGCCCTGGTGCCCGGCTGCTGGCCGGGCGCGCTTGGTGCGCGTCGTCTGGCCGGGCGCAGCGGCTGCATGTGCTGGGGGGCCTATTTACTGTCCTGGATGAGCCGCAATCTTTGGGCCGGCCACCTGATATGCTGCGATCTGGGGCGGTCTTACCTTGTTGAGTGGTGACTCCTTGACCGCCACCGAAAGGGCGTTGATTGCGTCCTCTGAGATGTAGCGACGAGGGGACAATCAGTGAGAAGTGTCAAGCGATGGGTGGCGGCAGTGCGCCGAGGCTGCCGCGCGGGGCAGCTGATGCTGTTGATTGATAATCAGCCAACTGCACCACATGTGCAACGACCGCATGTTGAGTGTGCGTATCTGCTGGCTGTCAGGGTCGGCTATCGGCAGGGCGCCGCACGGCTGTCAGTTGGGAGGGGCGTCGAGTGCCACAATTTCGGATGGTCGCAGACATCACACATTGACATGGACCGCCTGCTGGCCCGTATGGTGGGCATCTATGCTGTCCCGCTGTTAAGTTAAGTATCAGCCGGCCCGCGACAACCAGCGGAAGGCGCTGCCACTCACCCAGGAAGCCGGCGGCGACCACCCTCCGCCGAGGCCCAGCCCGCTGCTGTGTTGCGGCTGCGACGCGAGGCGCGGCCGTTGCGTGGCCCCGCGGCCCCGCACACTGGTTAAGCACAGACCTGGCGTTCAGCTGCATCATGTACGACGTGGTCTGGGCCAGATCGCGATTTGAGCGTTTCAGTCGCCGGTGCGAGGGTCTCCGAATGCTGGTGCGGGACACAAAATAACTGGGTGGCTTAATTTTCAAGTACAACGACGCCTTCTTGCATGATGGCTACAATGGAGCAGGTGACAGGGTTCCAGCTCGAGACAGCAGTGACAGCGACGGTGCGAGGCAGGTGCCGCAAACAGCCCGCATACGTCAATCCACATGGCGGAACTTTGCACTGAGTGACAGGCTGTCCACATACATTGATCGCCAGTGGGTGCACTGGACCGGGCATGGAATCTGCCCGCCTGTGCCCACGACCAGTGGGACGCTGCCAGCATGCCCATATCAATTTGTCGTGGCATGCCACAGGCACCTTGAGAGAAGAGAATGCAACAACACAAGACGTAAGACAGCACCTCGTCTGGGAGTCCCAGGGGCACCTGCAAGGCAACACGTCCAGGCGGCCCTGGTGGGCCCGCCTGCGGCTCAATGGAACCTGCATGCTGCTTCTCAGTCTTACAAGGGCTTTGTGAGCTTGCCACACTCTTGACACTTTATCACATACATATGATGGTGCTCGCGAATTACATCCTCTAGGTTGTTGAGGTATACTTCTCTTTTGTGCGTGCCCTGTGAATCGACAACGGAGAAATATTGGGCTGCTGTGTTGAACTTGCGTGTGGCAACCAACGTGCTTGGTGCACTGACCGCATCTCGGGGCCCTTGTGCGTCTACAGTTTTTTGTTGGTGATTTTTCAGCCAGCTGCGCCGCAGAGCAGCGTGGGGTGTGCGACTGCTGCGCCCCAGCCTGCATCGGGGGCCAAGCTGTCCAGCCATTCAGCTGGCAGTTTTCAGGGGGTTGTGGCACCATCTTGTGGCTGGGAGCGTCAAAGCAACTGCCGTGTCGGCTGTTGCAGCCCTTTGCAGATAGCAACCTGCGCGTTACACTCCAAATTTGGCACTAGGTACACTCAAATGACACGCCACTCTCTCGGGGCCGCGAAGCGCGCGGCCGCCGGCGCCACTGACAAAACCAAGGGGGGAGCATGGGCGGAATAGCCCGAGCCCCCGCCCTCTCCGCGTGATGGCGGGTGTAGGAACTCTGCTCGCAGCGACTGCGGGCTCGGGCGCGGTCCCACGGGCGGGCTCGTGCACAGGCCGCGCAATCGGGGTGGTGGGTGCGGTCCGCTGCCGTGCGTGCGCGGGGCCGCCAATGGCGGCGCACGCGGCGCGGCGCGGGGGCCGCGCGCGCTCACTCCCACTTCTGGGCGGTGAGCTCGGCGAGGTCGACCACGCGCTGGGAGTAGCCCTGGTGTTTTTTTTGGGGGGGGAGAGGGGGGACGAGGGAGGAGGGCGGTCAGGTTTCATGTTGGGTCAGGGGCAGAGGGTGCGCACGAGGCGGACGGCGCGGCGATAATCCAAAGCGAGGTCGTTTTGACCAGCCGTCCGGCTGCCGCCTGGCGACCACAACTGCAGGGACTGATAATGAAGCAGACTGCTGCACCATGCCGCTTAGCGCATGCCGAGCCCAGCGCTTCGAGTGGCCACTCACCCACTCGTTGTCGTACCAGGCGACCACCTGTGAATGGAGCGATCAACACGCAGCGCGTCGGGTGGGTTGGTCAGCAGTCACCAGCGCTTGCCCCGCCGGTTGGACACAAGCAAAGAGCACCTCGAGACTGGTATGGCTGACGCGGTGCCATTCCCATGCCAGCGACACAGAGGCGAAGCGTACGCCATCTGGACAAAGGGGCGCAGACAGCAGCCGCAGTCGTATCAAGCACGCCCCCTCCCCCGCACACACACATACTCTCACGCACCTTGACCATGTCGTCGCCCATGACCATGGTCAGGGACGAGTCGATGCTGGTGGACACGTCGGTGCAGCGGAAGTCCACCGACACCAGGGGCTCGTCGGCCACGGCCAGGACACCGGCCATGGGGCCAGCGGCCGCCTCGCGGAACGCCGCGTTCACCTCCTCAGCGAAGGTCTTCTTCTCAACCTGGTGTTTTTGAGATTGGGTGGGCGGGAAAAGGGGGGACAAGGGGTGAGCGCGGGGGCGGGTGTTGGAGGCAGCGACTGCGGGTGCACCCGTGGAGCAGGCAACCGGAGCTGGCCGCAGTCTCCGTGGTCCAGGGACTGGCTGCCCTGCCGCCTGCCTGCCTGCGGCCTTGCGGCCTGCTGTGTTGCAGCATGCTGCCAAACTGCATGTTGGAAGTCCAGGCGCCGGGCGCCAGGCGCTGTCAGCCATGCTCGAACCCCCCAGCCGTCACCCCGTCACCCCAACCCAGGTGCCCACCTGGATGACCAGGTCAACGACCGACACGTTGGGGGTGGGCACGCGCAGGGCGATGCCGTTCAGCTTCCCCTTAAGCTTGGGCAGCACCAGCGCCACGGCCTTGGCCGCGCCCGTGGTGGTGGGCACGATGTTGAGCGCGGCGGCGCGCGCGCGGCGCAGGTCGCGGTGGGAGGCGTCCAGCAGGCGCTGGTCGCCGGTGTAGGAGTGGGTGGTGGTCATGGTGCCCTTCACGATGCCAAACTTCTCATCCAGGACCTAGGGGATTAGGGATGTTTTGGGGGGGAGGAGGAGCCGATGGGAGGGGTCAGGCAAGCGTGCAAGGTGGCAATAGCGACCAGCTGCTGTCAGATGCAGTTTGTCAGGAGCCCTTTGTCCTGGGGCTCAGAAGTACGGGCACCTTTCGGTGCGGACAAACAGCATCGTGACAAGCCTGCCGGCGTCGGCGGCGACGCCGAGGGGTCCTGGCAGTGCATGCGGCATGAGACACAGTGTCGAATGTGCT